AATATATCGTTCCTAGAGTAATTTTCTCTTTTGAAGATGCAGTACTCATTAGTGAGCATTTGGTATATGAAGATAGGCTCCAAGCATTTTTTCTACCCCTTCTTACCCTAGGGCACCTTACGTTCTTGAACTGCATTTTGATGAATCAATTATGTATCAAATCAAAATACTCATAATGATGTCTAATAAGAATCCAAATAGTAATATGTACCACTTGGTGTACCACTTGATTTACATCCAAGGGGTACATGTACCCATTTACCCTTAATGAATAATTTACGAAATTATTCATTAAGGGTAAATAGGTACATGTACCTCTTGGATGTAAACCAAGTGGTACACCAAAGGGTAGATGTAGCATGATCCTTTTCAATAACTACTTATCAACTTAAATTCATTATTTAAAATTCAATAATCACGGTACAAATTTACCGTACAAACTAAACAAAGAACAACCTTATCTATCTATTATTTATTATTTATTATTCTGTTATTATTATTATTATTATTATTATTATTATTATTATTATTATTATTATTATTATATTACTTTATTTTAATTAATCATTATTATTATTATTTTATTATTTATTTTTTATCTTCTTTAAAAGGACGAGTGTTTTTGTAAAAATATGAACTACCTAAAAAACCCTTATTTTGATATAATTTTAATGGCAAATTAGTAATATTTTATACACATCATATTTATATTTTTAATATAAAAATAAACTACCTAAAAAACTCTTTTTGACATGTTTTTAATGACAAATTAGTAATGTACTAATATCCATCATATCTTCTATTTTTAAATTAATAACTAATATTTAATTAATTACATACAAATACATGAACAAATCATTCCACACTCCTAAAACAACTACGATATGTTGACACCAGTATTTCTCACGAATTTGCTTTCTTCCACGTATCTGTAAAACTGTTTGATAGGATATAAAATTGTTGTTTTTAAAAAAGTCATTATTTTTAATAGAGAATGTATTGATCCTATGAAGCAGTTGATCCTCGTGAACAAAATTTGCCGAAATAGCAAAGATTTATGCTAAACAGCAGCTCGAGCCGCTAGTACCTAAGCACATTAGGTTATTTATATGTTAACCATTTATGTTTTTGGTTTCCTAGTTTAATACTCAAGTTTTCTTGGTTAGTTATACTAGTACGTGACTGGTGAAAAATACTACGATTGTATTATAATTTAAATATTAAATAACAAATTTACCTATTGTTTTCAAAATCGAACTGATTTACCGCGAACTGATTTATTGATTAGTCTATTTTGCTTGAATAAAATGTTTGTTTGTGAATTTATCAACACCAGTCGGTCGCGCCTGTAGGATTTATGCAATTTTTAAACAAATTTCGTAACATTTAAAATTATTTTTAATATGAATAAAAAAATATATATATATATAAATAAAATAAATATTAATTAAGACTAATAAATTAAATCTTGCCTAATCAATAATATATTGAATAGATAACATGATCAGTTCGATGATGGTTCGATTATGAAAAACTTTGATTTACCATACATTAATAAAATTTGTAGTGCAATATCATTTTGTTTACATAAATATTAATAAAAAAATTAATAAAATTCTTCTTTGAGCTTGGATTACATTACATTTATCGTAATAAAGTATTTTTAATATTACAATATCTATTTAGTATCAATAATTGATTGGGTCTGGCCAGACTGACCCGTAACCAACGTTCAATCCTAGTTGTGTCATGGTTTTAGATTATTTTAAATATCACCTAAAAGTAATTTAATCAACCTAGGTAATAACTTATTTCAATTACCCAATCGATTGAAATAAATTTTCTTATTTTTTCTTAAATATATTCATCTTGTGAAATAATTCATGTAACAAGTGTTCATAATAAACAAACAATATTAAGATGGTAGATTATATATTTAAAGATAAATGAATTATTTTTTAATTTATGAATATTTATAAAACTTATGCTTTTAAATAAAAATTATTTTCGATAAATATACAATGCTAAAAAGAACCAAAAAAAGAAATACTCACACACGCGTGCACACACACACGCTCGCGTGTGTGTAACAAGTGTTCATAATAAACATATGCTTGCTTTCTTAGCATTTTGGTTATGTAAAATTTTGATACAAATATCCATAAATATATTTATGGATATTGTGAGAAGTTGAGTAATTTTTCAAAAAGTAACTCGAGTGGAAGGTATTTAAAGGAAGGCCAAGTGAGCCTTTATATGTAACTTAAGTTACATATAAAGGCCAAGTGAGCCTTTTTATGTTGTTGATTATTGCATTCTTAATGGGTTATATCACCATGTTCGTTTGATACTTGGTAGTGTGTTGAGAGATACCATGATGATGATGATGATCTTATAAGTCGGTTGCCTGACGACATTCTCCTTGTGATCCTATCTTCCCTCCCATTGAAAGAAGCTGGCCGCACAAGTGTTCTTTCATCTTGCTGGAGATACTTGTGGAGTTACACCTCTTATCTCTACTTTGATGACTATAGCTCCATGGAGAAGATTATCCAGGACCCGAATTTTCGCTCTGTAGAGAGGGAAAAGTATGTAAGGTGGGTGGATTCGGTTCTCCAATCACACAGAGGATCGAGCTTGGCCCTTAATGGACAATGATAGGCAGACCAAAGATTGCACATCGCAGTCTAAGCGTGCTTGCTTTGCGCACCGGCACAGCAGAATTTGAATCCGCTGGCTCAGATGAGTGGCTATTGGCTTACTTCCTTGAGAAGGGCTTTCTCTAACTACTAGCAAAGGAAGCTAAGCGGAGGAAGACTACTAAAACTTCGGTCTAAACTCCCTCCCCTCCGAACGAGCCGAAGCAGGATCGAAAAAGGCAAAGCTCAGAGGTTGTCAGCCGAATCAACCGTCAGTTGCCAAAGCGTATCATCAGAAAAGGTCTATCTGGGCTTTGACTATGTCTCCCGAAGAATTAAGAATATGTTTTAGTTTAATCCAATCACCGTCAATTACGAAGTGGCTTGAATTTGCTTTTGAGAGGCACATCGAGAAGTTGAATTTGAACCTTTTAGATGGTGATTATGTTCATGACCTATCTGAAATTTACGTGTTTTCTCAAGAGTTGTTACGGGAAAATAGCAGAATTTTCAACTATAAAACCATAAGAGTGTTGTGCTTACGCTGCATTAATGTCTCTGGTGAAGCTATCGAGTTTCTCTTACGTTACTGTCCATTACTCGAGCAGTTAGTTGTCTGTATCTCCCCATTATTGTCCAGTCTTGAAGTTTGTGGACCATCCCTTGTGCTAAAGCATTTGAAGATATGGGGATGCAAATATTTGAAATCCTTACGAATTTCTGCTCCAAATCTTACTACGCTTTTACTCAATAATGAAGTAGAAGCCCTCTTGCTTGAGGATGTTCCAATGCTTCGTGATGTTCATGTGATCTTTGGAGACTCCCGGCCTGATTCTTTCTATGTACAAAGGCTAGTTCCCACACTGCTTTGCTGTCTTTCCCAATTGGAGATTCTCACCTTGAGAATTAGTAATAGGAAGGTAAGCTGTCTTTCTTATTTTGTTTATATTCACTTAGTGTAATTTGTATTTCAATACTTCAACATCCATTTTTTATTTTTAAAAAATATCTTCTGGTGACTTTTTCCATATGCTTTCTTAGCATTTTGGTTATGTAAAATTTGCCATTTGCATAAGAGCAATATTTTAAATGAGTAATGCTACAACTACATAATAGTGTACATAAGGGTGTACATAACACCCAGACCCACCAAAAATAAAAAATTAAGTGGAGCCCACTCTATGTGAGTGTTATGTACACCTCTATGTACATTTATAATGTACTTGTAGCATTGTTCATTTTAAATTATTTAGAGTTTGTTTGGAAACATTTCTCAAATTGACTTTTTGATGCAAAAGTCCATTTGGATAAGTATTCATGTTCGGTGCTAATTTAAGAATTGGAATTATTAATAGAATTATAAGTTGTACATTTTATGTTTTACCATGTTGGGGTATTTTTCAGTCGTTTCGTTTGTTTTAGTAGTAGGATTGTTTAGTTGCGAGCTTTTATTCTAGTGTTGCTAGTCAGGATTTTAGCCGGTCTCCTGACATGTCCTTCCAGTTTTTCAGCTGTTGGTTGCTGTGTATTCAGTCGTTGGCTGTTGTGTATTCGCACATTTGTGCATTTTGATTTATAATATATTCTGTCGTTTTGGGAAAAAAAAAGTATATACCAATTCTAGTTATTCTTCATATACAAATATGAGGTAGTCCAACATCATTCTATATTCGAACATGTTTATCTTGTTTTATTTGCATAACCAGTATAATATCCGTGTACTACATGGGTGCTTGATAAAATAATTAAA